TTTTTTTTTTTTGAGATGAAATCTCCCTCTTGTAGCCAGGGTAGAGGGCAATGGTGCAATCTTGGCTCACGACAATCTCTGCCCCCGGTTCAAACTCCCGGGCTCAAGTGATCCTACTGCCTCAGCCTCTCAAAATGTTGGGATTACAGTTGTGAGCCACTGTGTCCATCCTACAATTATTTTAAAAAAAAACAACAACAACAAAAAACAGCTCCTTGGCACCTGTCTTGAGTATAGCAGTGACGAGTATTGTCTTCAGCTATGAGGTCAGCCCAGGTCACAGGTGGATACAGGATCAGAAAGGAGCAGAAACACACAGGGCCTGGGTTACCCTTGAGGGCTGATGCCGCCCCCTGCTCTCCTCACCAAATGCCAGAGACACCCACCAGCTGGCTCCTTACTCCCTCAGTTCTCTACTTAGAAATCACCACATGGGGCTCAGCGTGGTGGCACATGCCTGTCATCCTAGCACATTTGGAGGCTGCGGTGGAGGGTGGTGAATCACCTGAGGTCAGGAGTTCAAGACAAGCTTGGCCAACATGGTGAAACCCTGCCTAAGCCTCCTAAGTAGCTGGGATTACAGGTATCTGCCACCATGCCCAGCTAATTTTTGTAGTTTTAGTAGAGATAGGGTTTCACCAGAGTTCAGCCTATCATGGACTCTTTCTTCCTTTTGAGGCAGAGTCTCACTCTGTCACCCAGGCTGGAGTGCAGTGGCACCATCTCGGCTCCCTGCAACTGGACTCTAGCGATTCTCCCCCTCAGCCTCTTGAGTAGCCGGAATTACAGGCATGCATCCCCACACCCAGCTGATATTTGTATTTTTAGTAGACACAGGGGCTCACCATGTTGGCCAAGCTTGTCTTGAACTCCTGACCTCAGGTGATTCACCACCCTCCACCGTGGCCTCCAAAAGTGCTAGGATGACAGGCATGTGCCACCACGCTGAAATCACCCCATGTGGTGATTTCTAAGTAGAGAACTGAGGGAGTAAGGAGCCAGCTGGTGGGTGTCTCTGGCATTTGCTGAGGAGAGCATGGGTGGCATCAGCCCTCAAGGGTAACCCTGTGTGTTTCTGCCCCTTTCTGACCCTGTATCCACCTGTGACCTGGGCTGACCTCACAGCTGAAGACAATACTCGTCACTGCTATACTCAAGACAGGTGCCAAGGAGCTGTTTTTTGTTGTTTTTTTTTTTTTAAATAATTGTAGGATGGACACAGTGGCTCACAACTGTAATCCCAACATTTTGAGAGGCTGAGGCAGTAGGATCACTTGAGCCCGGGAGTTTGAGACCAGCCTGGACAATGTAGTGAGACTCCAGTCTCTACAAAAAATAAAACTAAAAGCTGACTCACACAGCAGATGGCAGACTTGAGATCTGAACTTAAGCAGCCTGGCTCCCAAACCTATGCACACAGCAATCACATTGTATTGTCTAGGTTTGAGTTCTACTTTCTCCCTTACTGTTAGGTATATGGAAATAGGCCAGTGAGACAACCCCTTTAAACTCCATTTCTCCATCAACTCATTGAAAATAATACCCCCCTACCTGCCATATGTGATTGTCCTTAGGGTTAAGTAAGAATATTTTTGAAAGTTCTTTGTGAATTATAGAGCAAAGTATAAATATTTAAAACAAAATCATCAAAACAATGAGAATAATAAAAGTACAGAGGGTTTATTGAGTTGCTCACNTCGCTCTTGTTACCCAGGCTGGAGTGCAATGGCGCGATCTCGGCTCACCGCAACCTCTGCCTCCTGGGTTCAGACAATTCTCCTGCCCCAGCCTCCTGAGTAGCTGGGATTACAGGCACGTGCCACCATGGCCAAGCTAATCTTCTGTATTTTTAGTAGAGACAGGGTTTCACCATGTTGACCAGGATAGTCTTGATCTCTTGACCTCGTGATCCACCTGCCTCGGCCTCCCAAAGTGCTGGGATCACAGACTTGAGACACCATGCCCGGCCCAGTCGCCTTCTTTTAGATGGTCCAGACGGAGGACACCAGGGGCGTTGAGGGCGCTGGGTCCTGCCTCCTGTACCCCAATCCCAATGGCCAGCTTCCTGGGAAGCTGGGAAATTAAATGTGTGGGTGTGAAGGGCTCTCCTGGCGGGTCATGGGGGCTGTGCACTTTCCCTTCTCGTCCTTCCTGCCCTTGCCCTCTTCTACCCCATAGACACAGTATAACCATTTAATGGTTATTTCTTGATGATATGCTAAGCAAGGGGTGGAATATTCATGCCTCCCCTCTTTAAACCACCTAGCGTAACTTCCTGACATGGCCATGGCACTCGTAACTGTCCTGGCACTGGTGGGAGTGTAGCGGTGAGCATGACCAGAGGTCACGCTTGCGACCATCTTGGTTTTGGTGGGTTTTGGCCAGCTCCTTTATGGCACCCTGTTTTATCAGCAAGGTTTTTATGACCTGTATCTTGTGCTGACCTCCCATCTCATCCTGTGACTTAGAATGTCTTCACCACCTGGGAATGCAGCAGCCTGGCAGGTCTCAGCTTCCTTTTACACAGCTTCTGTTCAAGATGGAGTTGCTCCAGTTCAGGTGCCTCAGACGCTTCTGCTGCTGTTGGTTCCTTGGGCCATTCTCCGGCAACACCCGCCTCCCACAGCTCTGGTCTCAATGACCATGGGTGGCTATTGCTGACTCATGGATGGCATGCCTCAGAATATGCCATTTCATGTCTGGCCTCGTTAGACATGTGTCTTTTTT